CACCTTCGCCCAAAACAAATAGAAAAAGGAAAGCCACTCTTTTGGAGCGTCTGGACAGTCTTTACACCTTTCAGAGGAGAAAAGAAAGCCGAGACCTGCACGCTTCCCGAGCCCCAGCTCCTGGCCTCGCTCCCGGCCTCCGGGACTCGGGCACCGGCACCCACCGTGGGGCGTTCGTAAAGTTAGCTGGTTCCTACCAAGCCCGAGTGCAGGCAGTTCACGGCTTTTCCGCTCGCCGACAGCAAGGTCCCATTTGAAAAGGACCTCGCTGAGCAGGCAATGCAGTAGCCGAGGTCTGGCAATGGACACCTGCGCTCGCTCAGAGCACAAAGGGCGAGCGCTCCGGCCATCGGTGTATTTATCTGAGGTGGGGACCCTTCCTTGTAAATTACTGCTGTTCCAAAATGGGGGGGGGGGGAATAACCTGCTCTGCAGGGTCTTGCTGGTGAACAGTGAATTCTGCCGCCCTGACAGCTTTAAGGTGTAACCACGCCATCTCACCTCCAACTGGAGTCCTTAGATGCGGGCTTAAAGGCTTTCCTACAGTTTATTAGGTGTTCTTCAGTTTTCTCCCTCCCCCTCTTTTTAAAAACTTTCCTAACTGCTGAGCTAATTTAGCACTTTTTCGACAGAATCTCTGCATTTGAAACATTACACTATTTTGTTATGTTTCACAAAATTGTAAGAAAAGAAATTTCGAACAAAACAAAATTACCCAAGGAATATATTAAAGCAGTATTAAGTTTTAAAATACAAGTATGTTGTCTAAGTTTTGAAGCTACTCTTTAAATCTGTTCAGTCTTATTTCACTCTACAAACATGTGGGGGAAATTGCCACAAGATAGCCTTCAACTACTCCTGACATTTACACGGTTATGTCCAAAATACTTAGATCTAAGTTTTCTTACTCAAGGTAACTTTCTATGTTTGCAATTGTTTTGTAATTTGGTTATTATATACTCTCTAGAAGTATCTTTGTGAATTCTTGAGACAAGTGTTATTAATCTGTATATCATTAATGCAAAAAAAGTGTGCTCCTCAAAAACCCTGTTCCCTTAAACTTCGTCAAAAGCTTGCACAAATAAGTATTACTCAAATGCTCACAGAATATCTCAGTCTAATTAATAGGTTTCTAATTCAAGCCTATGTTATTTGATAAAGGATCAACAGCATGTAGAAATCAATTGAACATTGCAACACTCTCTGTTTTGGCTTCTACCTAATAT